AGCCTTTTAATCGATTACTACTGCATCGCCAATTTCATGAATCAAAAGAACTTCAATTTCTCTATTTTACCGTCTATCCATCAAATTACTCTAGTCAACGTTGGAGTGCTTTTTTTCTGTATGAAATCCTGTCACAAATTGGTAACGACCGACCTGACGGGAAAATAGTTCTCATCCGAGTGATTTAAAATTCCGAGTGATTTAAAATAGCTTTGGATCTATACAGACAATCACGAAGAAATACATACGGTAATCAATGTTCTCAACTACATACATATGTATTTTACCATGCTTTCAAATAAATCCTAGTTATTTCAATCCCATCATCTCCTCATCTCAATCCAGCATGGCCAGTAACAGATTAATTGGTCAGTGTGCATTTTTAAAATTGAAGTAAGTTACACTGAAGTAGAACCCTCATATCATCATTCTGGTCCCATCATCACTAAATGTTGTAAGCCTCGTCTCTAGAAATGCCCCACATCGCAATGGATGATTGAGAATATTAAAAAGTACATAAAAAGAAACTTTATGGTTATGAAGCTTCGAGTGTATGGGAGCTCCGTTCATGCATTCCCAAAATAACTCTTCAGCCGGATTGTTCAAAATTGGCTGACAGTTTTTCGCAAACTTCTCTGCAGAATATACACTGACTACCAGTAAACTCTAGGGAAAGCTTATTTTTTCACTAAGTCGAGCATGGCCGGTAGGAGATTGGTGTTAGTCAATGTTGATTTTTTTGAAATTGAAGTGAGTTATACCGAAACAGAACCCGGGTGAGCATGTCGATAGAACACAGCCTACATATGGTAAAGTTTCGGCTTGCCCAAAATTTTACACATAGTTGTTCTAGCTCATCTTCGCAAATTCATCAAGGTACCGAAAAATTGGTTCAAACAGATTTCGGNGACTTCGAGACCTCGTAAGCGCTGTTTCAAGTGTTTCGCGGGGTGTTCGCCAGCAAAATGAGCAAACAAAAGTTTGTCGAAATTTGCCTTACCTGCTTCCTTACTTTTGTAGCGAACAACAAGTCACCGTGGAGACACACTAACGGCCTTTCATCCAAATATCTGAATCAGCAGCGCTTCTACCCTCTCTCTTTCTATAGTGTTCCCCTTCTCCTACTTTATTTCAGTCGAATTTCGAAAAAATTCGAATTATAGACGTGTTCTCGTGTTAAGCACCCATATTTGATAGCAAATGACAGGAGTAATATATCCGAAAATAGAAAAAATTAGCTCTGAAAACTGGCGGGTCTCCCTACTACCCAGAAATTGCTTCTTGCATTCTAGATATCCAAGAGTTGACACAGTGATGGCAGGCCAGGCTCATGTAGTCTAGACCGGTAGGTGGTATCCAACTAAATGAGCTATGGGTATCATTTGGAATTTTCGGCTATTCATTCGGTAACTGGTTTGTTTTGCGCATGTGTCATCCCCCATCGTCATTGACAATAAACGTACTTTCTACTTAATCATCCGGGATCAGACCATTCGAGCCTTGCCAAACATTCATATCGCTATTCAGACTCGACGTTATGCGCTCAATCCCGCTGGTTCTGCTCATCGTCTCAGCGATTTTGGTGAGATTTCCCATTTTCTAGAAGTTCATAATTTTGAAGCTCTGAAAATGATCATTTACCTGCATACGAGTTTACTAAACTCGGCACTGTGGGAGCTACTGTACTGTTGGGACAGAACATCTCGAGATCACCCATATTCTAAGAGTTCCCCATTCTGTGGTGGAGGAGGTGACGAAGTGGCAAATGGAGCACTATCAGTATAGCCCCGGTCCATGAGAGCCCATCATGTCTTCCTGGATTTGTATCCACCCAGTCCAACCAAGCCATCCATCCATCCAGGGACGGTTATTGAAAGCAAGCCTGTCTGAAAGAACAAACTATACATCACCTGACCACTACAAGGCACTGTATTTGCCCAACACGCATTCAAAAACACCATCGGAACCTAAATGGATGTCAAATGCGCGGCACATTCCACAAATGTGTTTAATTAAGGCCAAAATTTCTATCTTCATCTCTTTATTCTTGTACGCCAACTGCAAATTTAACTGAATATCTCAGCTGCGGACGATTCGGAAATTGGTCTTCATAGAGCCGCCGCGGGAGAAGGACAGTAGGTTCGGTTTGTGTAAGCGATTCGCCGCGCGCGGCAGTCGCGGACCACTCGCCTTATTATAATAGTCCTAGCCTCCTCATCGCTAACGTTAGTTCTTTTGATCCTGCATTTCTTAATTGCTGCTGTATTCTGCTACATTACTTGGCGCGCGGCGTCTCTCTCGTCGCAACGCGACGATTCAGATCCTACTGCACCACACCCTCTCGCCGCATTCCAATGCTCATCGTGCTATTTTTCATACTTATGGGTACCAGTTTTTTTTTTGCGACGATTTAATCACTATTTTATGCAATAGCTCTACTTGATGGAATGTTATAAGGCAGTCTCAAAGGGGCAGTCTTCAAGTCCTGCATGAAATCGAATGCACAGGGCACCTAAGAGAAATCTCCACAGCCAGTCCCCTGCCCCATCTTGACCTCACCAGCTTTCCATTACAATAACGGTGGCAGTAAAAGAGGCTGGCAACAGAAGCTTCAACATCTCATCGCAGTGATCGAATTTCATTCTCAATTGATTGGCTGATTGATCTCATTCAGGCCCGCCCTGATGAAGGAATCGGTAAGACTGTGCAGAACACGGCACAGAGCGGAGCCGATTGGATCCAGGATGCAGGTATGTGACCTTCGCATCTACTTTTTACTTATCAGAGACATTTTATTGTTTGACAGAGAAATTCCGACAATTCTAGTGAAAACAAATCTATATAACATGAAGCTATTGTGATACAGGCATTAGATCCTGAACACCTAGGAAACAATACGATGGGATGGGATAAAAAGTAGGATTTGGCGTCGATTAGACTTGTTTCTGTCCACCTAGACCGATTTCCACTCAGAATCCTAGTTACGTCTGAATGAGTGATTCGCCTATGAAATGAAACGGGAAGTTTAGAGAAGGTTCAAGCCAACGCCTTCGATTTTAAAGACGAACCTGGTATAAACATAGCCACCTTAACGGGATGTGAAGCTGGGTTGTCGTGGGATGTCGATGCGGGATTAGACCCCTTTAATACGATCTGGTAGTAGCGCCACTTGACATTACAGCAGTACGCCTTCGTAAATAAAGTCTATGAAAGGTTCCAGCGCTAATCATTGTCAATTCTAGATGCGGCCCCCGCAATCGACTTGCAGTCAGGATAGTAATAAGTCAGGATAGTGCTCGGATGCGTATTTGCCTTACCTATGGCACGGGGTCCCCGATCCCGCAAGGAGGGAAGGCTTGCTAGCCTGAGCGGATGTCTACCTTGGATTCGCTTCCCCGTACTATGCCTGTTTGATAGGGCGCCCCATACCACTACACCATCTACGTCCTCACTTTTGAAAACCGTGTACCACAGAAAGCAAGTGGCGCGCTTCACACACTCTTGGTCAAGAGTTCGAATCCCGGATCGATATCCGCCTGGGCCAACCAAGCCTTCCATTCCTCCGGGGTCGATTAAATGGTACCAGACTTGTCTGGGAGGATAAAAGCACTGACTAGTACATCGGTTCGCCACCACAAGTCATTGATAGGCCACGTACGTATTCAATATGCACTACGATTCTGAATGAGGGTCGAATGCGTGAGCGCATCCCTCAGACGGGATTGGCGCCCCAAAACTTCATCCCTCAGACGGGATTGGCGCCCCAAAACTTCATCCTTCAGGCTTTATACCACAGAAAACTAATTTAAAAGAGATACTATCAAATGTCAGCCAATTAAAAACGCTTGCATCTTCGTGAGCACTTTGGTCAAGCCCCATTACACAGGCACTATTCAATAGGTTCCTACAAAGTGGCGAATGGTGTCCCCTTAATGAGTATCAAGAAATACAGTTGGGCCTCTTGTGTTTACTCTTGTGTGCACTTCATGCGAAGTCACAGTTTTCTCACTACAGCACTCAATTGGAACAACTTTTTAGAAAAACCTAAAAGGTGGAAACAATAAAGGTAGAAAAAATTCAAAATAGTTTAACAACCTTCATAAAGAGCTTCTGAGATTATTTGAAGTGAAAATTGTTGTTAGGATGCTTATTAAAGCGTGCTCTTTTACAGTTTTTATTTATTTATGGCAGGGCCGGGCAGTTTTGTGATCTGGCTTTTGCCTAGGAAATAAATAATTTCCCGACACATTCCAACCGAAAGTATTCTCTCGAGAACCCAGATATAAAACTTTGTTTTAGCAAGAGATGCTGGCAGTTTCTTTTCGAGTGCTGGTAGAGAAGTGAGTGAACACGCGAAAGATGCCTGTGAGTAAAACTTCCGTTCCTTTGAAGGTTGGGCGACAACCGATATGTGGTTTTTCAGGGGATGTTACTAAAGAAAAAGCTGGACAAGTTGGTGCTGCAGTCAAATCAGCAGGTTAAATCCAGTGACCAACATCATTTTTACCACTGGATTTGATAGGGATCCTACACAAATGAATAATTTTATATTTCAGCTTCAAATGTAGCCGATCGTGGGGAACAGTTCGGGAAAGACGCCAAGAACTGGGCAGAGGGAGCTGTTGAAACAGTAAAAAGAGGAGGTCAGGAAGCAGGTAGGATAACTTCGGTGTCGTTCTGTAAGCCGAATAAGATTGACTCGGGGAGCCCCTCTCGTGAAAGTTCCACCTGCCAAGTTTGGGACGAAATTTTCAACGAAAGTAGTTTGCTGAAATTTCCAATCGAAATCTTTTGTCTGAATTTGAGATCTCTATGTTTTAGCAACGGCAGTCGAAAATGGCTACGATAAACTACGCTCAGGAGCGGAACGCGGTATGTAAGAAATTTTCACAACAAAAATCATAATTTGGTAGAAGTTCGTTCCCTTAAAAGAACACGGCAGCGTTTGGGAGCCTAGTTTTGCTCTATCGTGTACTGACTGTGATCAACAGTTTCAATTAGGACCCATTAGTTGCTGAAGCAGCTTCTCAAGCGAGGGCATAGAAACAGCTGAGTGCTGAGTTTCTTCAAAGTCCTACATGGAGATGATAAAATAGCCAGAGCTTTGAGCTAAAATGTTTATGGAAAGAGGGTTAGGAGACAGAAACAAGGCGGAATTCCCAGATGACGTAACAATTCTGCTTGTAATCGCTTGTGAGGAAACTTGCACTGCGCAGAGGAATGAGGAGCTTTTAAACTCCCTAGACAAAAATTTTTCTTGAAAAGACCAACCTATGTGCTCCAATGATGTCATATGTGGGTGTGTTGGGTTGGAAAGCGGCTCAGATAAGTCGTAACAGGGGTTCAAAGACTGGCAGGCAATCTCAACTAAAACGATCGCGAAGTGACTCTCCAAGGATCCAAAAATCCAACAAATCTACATGGAAAATTTCTATTGTAGGAATATAGGCACTATTTGAGAACTAAGTGAGTAGGCCATCGGCACATGCGAGTAAAACTGGTCAGATTAGGTAAGTCCTGTCTGGGTATCACCCGATAACTGAAGCTTTTGTCTCGATTTCTATGAAATTGTGTTTCTCGCAAAGGGATCGGTACAGTCATATTGCCGGAAACCTTCCTATGGTCAGTTTGGACGACTTCCGAGGACATTCAGCAATCTCTCACATTCNTGACGACCCATTCATTTAAAACTAGATCTAGAACTAGATAAACTAGAACCAAACTACAAACTTTATCCAGATTATAATTATTTTGCTTACTTTTCAACCTATTCCTTAATGATATTCAGATGTGGAAGTTGTGAAGACAGATGTGAAGACAGATGCAGAAAAAGTCGAAAAGGACGCGGAAGGTGCGAAAATCGTTCAGAATTTTATGATGAATTTTTGGCTCTGTTCCCTTCTATATTTCAGATAAAGGAGTACTCACGAAAGTTGCCGATTGGTTCAAAGGGATCGGAAAGTGATCTTTTGTATCTTCCGAATAAAGTTTTTCCCAAAACTGTCGAGACATCAGTCGTTTTCTTGAAATTGTTGAGATCGACTTCGTAAATTAGGTCTATCTGAGAGGAAAGATAGCCAAATTGGCAGGAGGACGAATTTTGCAACCATTCCCTAAATACTGGGCTGAAATCGCGAAATAGCCATTTTAGGGGATGAATGCGGTCTAGAAAATGTACCAAAAAGTCCACATTAGGTCCAAACAATTCACAACATCCCTTCGGACCTTTTTTACCATCGTCGCAGTGCAACTGTGACCTATAGAACAGGGTCGCAGCTTGGCTCCTAGGGCCACTCGACACCTTGGGAGCTGTACGTCGCCTAAGCCATACTAGTAGGCATAGGCTGTGGATTGCGGTCAGCATGGGTCATCACGATTAGCATAAAAGATCTTTCTGGAAATCGAACTATTAGTCTTTGCAATGCCTGTGTATCACGATTATTATTCCTACGTACCAAACGCCGATCTTTTCCTTGGCGCTCCTCCTGAGAACCAGAATTTGAATACACACTTGGGGTACGTTTTGTGTTTTACTCTCTCAGATTTTAGCCTTAGACAGACTTAAGTTCCTCTGCTCTGATTGAGACTTGTTTTATTTGAAGTTTGGAGAGCTCTTCTCAAAAACCCAACCTCACTTCCGAGTGCTCACATGATGTCGGTCCCAACCAGTCTCCGTCGAAGGATGGTTGGGCCAGGATGGAGCGGAATATTAATCAGATGAAGAACAGCTTGTTGAACCTTCTATCTCACAGTAGACTTCAAGAAGAAAAAACCGAAGCTGTAGAAGGACTATTGAAGAAAATCCTCGATCGATTACCTGAAAAAGAAACAGGTAAGTAAGGACTCTCCTTAGTCGTTAGGAAAGCACACTGGATTCTGAACGTCTTCAACGAATTTTTTTTTGAAATTTTCAAAATTGAATCGAAATTGTACAGTATTTTACATTGTACAATGAAGATACCGTAGGCAGTTGAAGGTCCGACTTTCCAGTAAGAGTAGACTAAAACGGTTGTGTTAAAAGCAAAGCTATTCTAGAAACGACCTTAAATTACACGTTTGTACCATATGAAGAAGTGGTGCGACTGCATGAGGCTTATCCCACGAATCCTCGAGCATTTGTGAGAGCTTTGGAAGTGCTCACATACCAGGACCAGGTGTACGAACTGCAAACAGCTGTAAACAAGCGATTGTTTACACTGGATCGGGTTGAGTTCATCAGAAAGGTAGGTACCAATTGAATGGCGTGAGAAAAATACTTAAGAATAGGTTTTCAGTGTCTCTTCCGTCATTACGCCGTCCCTCCTCATCTCCAAGAGGATGTCTGGAGAAGTGTCCGTGCGTCCTTGGACAATCGAAGTCTTCGACTGAAGCATCTGATAAGAGCTCGACAACGCACGGGCTTCCGTACTTCGACCCCCATTTCGGACCTGCTTGAGGGCCTTGATCAACTCGAGAACGGTCCTGATCGACAGATTGTTATTTGACTTTCTAGGAATGCATGCATCAATAGACTTTCTGAAATCGTTCAGAGCTTTATTTAGATCATAAATAGTCATAATATTTCTTTGCGAGAAGCATCGCTTTATTTTTTGTTTACGTCTTACCTTTGTTGTTTTGTTTTTGCTCACACTGTTAATTTCTAAGTTCCTAGCCTAACTAGAAACGATTGATTTTCTGAATGTCTCTGACCTTTAAATGATGTTTTACCTCAGTAAATGCTCACATATAAGTGAAACTGCTTCAAAATGTTGATGTCACAGCTTTTGGTCATTCAGACTGTCAATCTACAAAATTTTTGATGACTTGAATGCTGGGTGTGGGTTGAAACCTTCGAAATGGTCACAGGGATACAATTCCGAGTAGTAAGTACACTATTAGAAGTGGAGTGTACCTGTTCTAATCCTAAACACAGTAAGTTTTGATTTCTCATACTCGGGGAATGGTGACAATTTTCGTCTATCAGTAGAACGGTACGCATGACGACATATCATACCAGTAGATAAGCCGTCAGAGATGGAGCTGAATAATCCGATGCGTTCGAAGGAAGAAGTACTCGGACTCGAGTATTACTGCTATGGTATGTGTACCGTACTACTAACAGGCCAAAATTGACACCATTCCCCGAGTATGAAAAAATTCCAAGTAGTATTACTGGCATTCAAATTCAGCGCAGAAATTTCCCACTCAACATCCAAAACCTCCTTCCACTTAGCTGTTGGGACATCTCATTTATGAGTTCACTGCACCAGTTTCAAGTGAGAAGGTTTAGTTCACACTCAACGTGGACGTTTTGATTAGGAATACCATATCACAAATAGATTGAGAAGAAGAAAGATACAGAAGGATATAAAGACAAATATAAGGAGTATAATTAAGCTTTGATGGATGTGTCTCATCTGTCGGTAGTATGTTCTTTCCTTTCTGGGACTTAGTAAAGCTGTAGATATTCCGTCGAAAGATCACAAATTCATTCGAGGCCATCAGACTCCTAAAAAGCAGTCTCGCCAAAATGGTAACCACTGAAATCAGTCATCAACCTCGGAAATGTTCACAAGGGTCACCGCAAAAACCACTCTAAGAAAGTGAGGTAGTGTGCAGTGAATTCCTAAGCTCGTGGGTGTCCCATCAAGGTAAAAGCATTTCAGCAGGGATCAACTACTACAACCTTTGGGCACGAGTGGGAGTGGTTGGGATTACGGATTATGGAAAGTTGTCCTAGTCTTTGAGTGGTCCGGAAAAGGTCGAATAGAAGGGCGGAAGCGAAAAATCAGCAGCCAACTGTTTACGTGAAGTTGTTGCTTCATAGGGTTTACAAGCCGTCGAGTGGGTCATGCTTAATGGCTTGTCGGGAGTGGATCTGTGGAAGAATTAGTTGCAACAGCGGCTTAGACCTCGTCAAATGCCACAGGGAATTTGTTATAAGCATAATAAATCCTCCTTCTTATTACGAAATTGGGCAATAAAACAAGGATGCTAGATCAGATGGAATATTTGCAGAATATTTACCGTATGCTTGCAACCAACACCGAACTTTTGAAACTACGGTAGCTGCGGACTCATTAGGTCGAGGATTCTGAAAAAGTCAATCCGTAAGAAAAAGACCGGGCTTCTCTTGTCACGAGCAAATTAGTGCAGGGAATCGCCCTCGCTCGAAGGACACGAGCCACAAGCTTTCGTTTAAAGCTTTTATGAAGTAGTGCGACCATCGCGTTGGCGACCGTCCTGGGGTTCGTTTAACGCGGGACCACCCATCAATCACCCTAGTCTAACGTATTCAGACTACGAATTCACAACGGCACCTCTCTCCAGCCAGAATCTATTAGGACGAAAGACAAAATATTTAAACCCAAATCTTAGCAGAAGGACTAGTCGAAAAAATCAGTCGTACAGGGACGATAGGTCTACCAAATTTCAAAAAAAAAATGACTATAATCGAGATTAGATTGCAAGATGACTGTCTCAGGAGCCCTTCCGACACCGTATCTCGGCCATTTCCTCTGTTGTCTTCCAGAAGCACCGGGGTTAACAACAAAGTGGCTGCACTCGGAATGATCAACATTACCTTGGTATATTAACTACGAGGGGACTCTTTGGGATTTCTTGATAAAGAATAATATTGTTGAATAACAGAGAAAAGGAGACAACATAGACAACTTGCGGAGGTGTTGGATCAAAAAAGATTACACAAAATGTCTTCTTCCATACAGAAAGTTGTTTTGATCTGCTCCTCTACATGGATTACTGAGGTGTTTTGTTGCTGACATCGCTACAGATGTGAGGATGCTCCTCAAACGATTTCAGATAATTCAAAAAAAAAACATGGAAACGTGGAACTGCAATGGACAAGCGGACTTGGCTCGGTAGCAATCGGTGCAGGTACGATTGTCGTCTGAGGAAAAACCGCTCCGGCACCAACTCTCAATAGAAGAGCAATTCTATCGGTCATGATCAGCAACCTCACTACGATTCAGCCTTTTTTACCAGCTCACTGCACCTTTCCTAGTAAGAATAAGAAAAAATACGTTTGATTAGTTGTCGGTCGATGTGTGCTCTTCGGGATAATGAACCATAGATGGTGGGTGGGAGAGAGGAGCTTCTCCCACAGCATGATCTGATTGAATGGCTTCAATTTATGAGAATTTGAGTAGGAGTTGATAAATGAGAGTAGTATGAGTTACAGAAGGCAGAACGTAATTTCTACAGACTACCGCCATTCAATGGAACTGGGAAGGTACCTCTCATCTCTGTTATATGTCAAGTCAACACTGTTCCCACCTATAGGAATGCACCTAAAACTGGTTCGAACTATAGACTGCACCTCACCCGAAATGGACTTCCGAACCAAACTCCTCTACTTCTCCCGGATCAGTGCAGTTGAGTTTCCCTTAGCTGTACGCGTGACCACGATACGGCTAGGTATACCACAGCTGATGGCAAATTGATCCGGCTAATCACTTTAAGCTTGAGGGAAGCTGCTTGCATGTGGTGAGATTGATAGCAAGCAGGTACTCTAAATGATTATAGGGAAAATAAAGCTAGATGTTTGCGATTTATTTAATCATCCAAGAAGCGTGATTAGACTTACTGGAAGAAAAGAAGCTCCAACCCCCATTGGCATTACTCTCGACACTTGCGCAGGGCTCTGGTTGCCGTGCTAATGCAGTGCTCTGTTTGGTCCCCATGTTTACTAGTAATACTACTTCTCTATGGGGTACTACCAGTTGCCCTGACGCAAGTCGTCAAAAAAGCTTCGAATCGCACCAATGTTGTGAGTTCAGTTTAACCTATTCGTCAACCGTCAATTACGGATTTCCAAAAACATTTTCCGTCAATTTAAGGTCGTGATAGGACACATTGGAGCAATCGGAGCTCTACCCAACTATGAAAAGGTCTTAGACCTTGCAAGGCAAGAGCTTCTCAAAGACGGAACACTCGGAGAGGATTTCGATATCGAGTGAGTTGCTTACCCGTTGTACTTACTCCTCACTGTAGCTAGTCGTAATTTGATTTCTCTAGAATATTTTGCTCATTCAAGAGTATTGTGAAAAGAGAGGTTAGGCCGGCAGAAAACCTAAGAATAGTGTTCTCACCTTCTTGAACTTGCTTCTGAAATGACGTGACTTTCAGAATCATCTCACGAAATGGTTGTGGAGAAGCTTTTGAAGGAGTAGCTGCAGCTGCCGATCTGTACCATATCGAACACATCAACACCTTCCTTGGACCGTACTGTAATGCCGGTATGCAGTAGTTCCAAAAATTTGATTGTAAAAAGAAAAAAATCTTCTCTCAGTAAGGTTTAGCAAACCCTTGGTCCCCAGCAAACACATCACCTGTAAGAGTTAGAGGTAAACACCAATCTTTACCGATTGGACATAACAACACCCACCCCACGATGATACATGGGAGAAGCTTGGTCATTTCTATCGTCGTGGTCTTATACTTATAGCGTTTTGAGAGATATTATAAATGATATTGACATTTCCTACCCATTAGAATGAATGGTCTTTGTTCGATGTTTAGATCGATTGAGGGAAGGAAGGGAAGGGATATAGAGGGCTTCTGGAGTAATGGACCGACACATAACGAGGTTTAAACACCTAGACCCAGTACACTTATAAGTATAGACCTCAGAAGAATATAAATGGCCAAGCCAAATCCCTCAATCGTGGGGTCACCGTGGGTGGGGGTAGACGCTTAACTGGGAAGGGATCGTACTTAACACTTACTGGTAAATTCATGCGCGTTCATTCCTACATAGCAGGAACAGATGTCCAGGAGATAGGTGGAATCCCAAAATAAGCCTGGATAGAGGGTTTCCATCTAGGCCTTCATCATTCTGAACGATTTCATGAAAACTCAATATTCTAATCCCAATTTCAGAAATGATTCCTGTAGCAACAATGGCAAACTTTTGGAATGTACCGATTATAGCTTATATGGCCTCAGCAAATGTTCTATCTAATAAAAAGGTTAATATTTTTCAATTCCTAGCATAGAGGTGGAGAAAATAGTGCTCGTTTTTTTCAGATCTACAAAACCCTGATACGCACATCCTTGAGAACAATGAATACCATAGCCGAATCGACAGCTGCTTTCATCAAACACTATAAATGGAAAAAGGTAAGTCACAGAAGGTCTTGTGACAGGCTAGTGATGGAATGAATCACATTCATCACACGATAATAATTTTACGAAGCGACTGGCTGCTTTCATAGTCTACGATTTGGCCCACGAGCGCGCGAGCGAGCGATTGGGGCGGCGTTTGCCCGCGGTATCGACCAAGATCCAGTTGTAAACAAGGGCAAGCGCCGCCCCAATCGCTCGCGCGCCAAATCGTGGACTATGAAGGCCACTGAATTCCAGCATCCAATGAGTTCAGTAAGCATCTGCCAAAACTTCTACAAAAGTCCAGCAGAATCACTTGAAATGACTCAATCCAATTGTATGCATACGGGATATCCGGGGATTTCATAGAATGGCTCGGTTGATCAGGTCTAAGCTTATCTTCGAACTCGTTGGTATTGGCTTTGAGAACAGTTATGTCGAGAGGACAGAATCTCACAGAACGGAGTCGAACACCGTTTACATGATACAGGTTCCGACAGGCTAAAGTAGCGGAATGACCAGAATCATATTCTTAAAGGAGTATATATTTTGAATATGGGCACCCCACCCATCCTACCCCCTATATAGATTTTAGTTTCCACAACAAGCACAACTAAGTTTCAGTTTTTATGCCATTTGTAATTGGAAAGGGCCAATATTTAGCCGGCAAAGGAGTTTTACTGTTATTATACTAGTTTTCAGGTCTCGCTAGTGTCGAATGTAGGTGCATCGGCTTTCGAAAAGCTCAGCGCTTTTGAACCAGTGCTTAAAAGAAACAACATAGTTGTGACGAGAAAGATTCTATTCGACGAGTCGGTAACTGTTCAAGATATACTGAATGGAGGACAACTGGACGAGATACGCTCTAACTCAAGAAGTAAGTCTTACCCTTAATTTCAGGTACCATAAGCCTACTGAGGCTGTGTTCCTGATGCTGGCATCTCATTTTTCTGGGAAAGTGGTGATTAATCTTATCAGCTTTACTATATGATGGATTTAACTTGTTTACACATTTTCCCATTTTCAAATCGAACAAAATCCTCCCAGATAAGCCTGATACGGTAAGCCTAGGGGAGTTGAGATCAACAAAATTGCTTCGCAGCTTGCGGAATAATCTCAGTGGATCTTCGTCGCCAAGGGACTTGCACATGAATGAGCTCCCCATAGAGATCCCAGACTAGAATATTACCACCTTTTCCCTGTAGCATTCTTCCTTATCTATATCCCTCAATCCATCAACGTTCTATTCTGGGAAGCACTTCATTGGTGCTTCCCAGAATAGAGACGTGGGACCGTTCCTTGCGCACAATGCCAAAAATTACTGTAACAATCATTTTTACAGTTGTATTGGTGATGTTTTCTTCAACACGGGACCTAACGGCAGTGTTTCGTGAAGCAACCGCGAAATATGGCCTGAGCGAGACGGAGTTTGTCTTCATCTTCCCATGGCTTCAGGAAGGTGCCAATGGAGCTTCACCATTCGTCGGCAAAGACTCTTCCAGCTTGGACAGGGTGAAGCAGACCTATTCCAATTGTGTATTGGTACGTTAATATTTCATTTTGCATAGGTAGAAAGTACCCTGAACGGTGCAATGGCAATGGGGTCCATAGTGAGCATTAGACTCGATTGAAAAACAGACCTATTTCACTAATGCGGAAGTTCCTTGCCACCCTTTTCGATGATAGAACGATAAAGGGATAGTCTTTGAACTGATCAACCCCTTCTGGGATGCGCTTCTCTTTCGTCTTCTATTCAGAATCGTAGTAGGGGCTCGAATACGTATGTGGCCTTAACAGTTACTACTTGTGGCGGAACGAGTCATACGAGTCAGTTTTTTATGCTTTCAGACGAGTCTGATACCAACCAATCGACCATGATTAGGTAGAGGACTTGGTTAGTCTGGGAGATATAGGTTCGGGATTCGATCCCCAAACCATGGGCCTGTAGCTAACAGACTATTTTCAAAGAAAAGTCCCCGGGACACTGAAATCAAAACGGACTTTTTAGATCGATGATACGAATGGCTTCGACGACCGTATGATCACTCCATTTATGGAAAGACTCGGTTCAATCGGTCTTAAAGAGTCAGACATATCACTCGTGAGTAAAAAATTGTTAAATTAACTGGAGGAGTCTGTGACTCTCTCAGTATTAAAACAGGGAAGGAGCCAGTAAGGAGTTTAACAACTTCAAAGTGGTAATTGCTCTTCAGCTACTTGCTAAAAAAGCTCCTTTCACAGAACAACATCTATGGCTACATTGCACTGTTTGATTCGTTGAAAATGTTTGCGACCGCTGGACGCCGTGTACTGAATCGAACAGGACAGTTCTCAGCACTTTCTGATGGTAAACTAATGTGGAACACCATGAGAAGGATCAGCATCCAAGGTATCGTTCGAAATGACTCCCAGTTTTTAGTGAACTAAAGTTGGACATCTGAAAGAATCAAAGGATGTTGCAGGAATGGTCTCAAATGCCGGAGTTGGTAGTGGAACGGTTATGTTGGACGATCTGGCCGAGAGAATTCCGTACTACTCGGCGTTTTTCGTCGACAAAGCTAGAGAAGAGGTTGGTTTGCGTTAAATCGTTACTAACATAAACGGAAGGGTAAGGCACAAAGCTTGGCCAGATGGCCGTACTCGTTGGAAGGAATGGGACTGCCATGACTCCAGTGAAAGAGAAGATGGTGGAGTTTTTGGTGAGAATATCTCCAGAATCGGTCATGCTGGCGGTACAGCCCTGCTATCTCAGAGAAGCATAAGTTTCCTCCTGCAAAGCCAAGAGTTGTAATAGGGGGTTAGAGTCAGTTGCTTGAGAAAGGCATGACACAGCAGATCGACTGGTCTCCGTCGCGGACCATGAATTTGAAGCAAGGATAGAAAAGGAAACATAATCTCTGAGCTTTAGGCTGACGTTGATAATCCTGTTCACGACGGTTATGGTACTGCAAAGGTAGTGGGTTGAAGTGACAGTGAAATTTAATACAGCTCCCTATATCCTAAATATTCAGGTACGACCGTTCGCCAATATGGCCCCATCACTGATCAGCAATTGCGATGGTTTGGAAACCGGAACCGGTTGCTTCGAAATAGTGAGTCATCTTTTTGCAAAATTGTCGGCATTTGAATACTTCAAGTCCTACTGCATGGACATGGCCAACATGCCTACTCGATTGTTTCTTCTCGGAGGTGTTGTCAAGCTAATGGAAACTTATTAAATTCTCTCATCGAGAAAATCCCCAACAGATCACCCTCTTAGCACTTTGATTCCTCTCTCGCTGTGCCCGTATACTCGTTATGGGCTTAATGATGTAAATCCAAGATAAACAAGTGGAGCAACATAGCAAGACAACTAGCTAAGAAGTCCCGCGCACAGCCGGCAAACCAGGATTTCCAATCATGAGGATTCTAGATTAGGCTATTAGGTGTGTGCATTTTGCGCCGTTTTTCGCGTGCAAAAACATACTTATTACAAAATTAAAACTAAATGTACGTTAACCAATGTGTTGCCCATCGTTAGCTACAACTTCTTCCCATCTTTCTGGTATCTTGTTGACTCCGGGTCTAAAAAAAGTCTTCATCTTTTAAAGCAATCCT